AACTTACAGACATTATCGAATGGATACCCTTTAGCAAATTTGCAAATATAAAAAGTATATTGCTAAAGGAAGTTTTGGCACTGTTTTTAAGGCAGTATGGATTGACGGATTTATTATAGGATTTGATCAAGAGAAGAATGAATGGCGGAGAGCTTCGCAAAAAAATGTTTGTTTAAAAAGTCTTGATAATTCTAAAGATATGAAACGGGAATTTCTAGAAGAAGTACGTACGAATCTTAATTTATGATTACTGTATTAAAGTGTAGTAATCTTATTTATCCTAATTAATATTTTAGGTTGAAAACCAACACGAATATGGGGGCAATTGCAATTTATGGAATAACTAAGAACCCAAAAGATAATAATTACATGATAGTCATGGAGTATGCGCAGAAGGGAAGTCTCCGAAAATTGTTAGATAGTAAATATGATGAATTAGATTGGGCTTCTAAAATAGCCAACCTATATTATATAGCTGATGGGCTTAAGACAATTCATAAAGCCAACTTAGTGCATAAAGATTTCATTCTGGAAATATAGTTAATAAAGAAATTTATTGTTCTTACATTACCGATTTTGGCTTATGTAAGCCATTGTCACAAAACTCAAATTCTAAAGCACTTTTTGGTGTGCTTCCCTATATTGCACCAGAAGTATTGTATACAAATGGAAAGGAATACACTCAAAAATCAGATATTTATTCTTTCGGAATAATTATGTCGGAAGTTTTTACTGGATATCCACCACATTATAATATTCCACATGATAAGGATCTAGCAATTAAAATTTGTCAGGTTATAGACCTAAAATTAGATGCGAAGTTCCTAAACTACTTTTGGATCTGATGAATAGATGCTTAGATGCAGAACCCCAAAACAGACCAATTGCTGAAGAATTAGTTAATACGCTGAAACAATTTTTTGTTTTTTTGAGTGATGAAAACACTGAATTATCTAAGCAAGTTCAAACTATTCAAGACATAAACAAAAATTTTTTTAACATATAATCAAGTAAAATTGACACAATTCAAATATCAGACACATTCGCAAACTATTTATACAAGTCGATTTTTGAATATTTCAAAACTCCCTAAATCAGGTAATAACATTATTCATATTTTTTAAAAAATTAGTATATGTTATTAATTGTAAAAATTTCCGAATCTGTCAATATAGTAAATGCAGGTAATTATATATCTTCTTAAATTGAATTAAGCTCTAGTTTTAATCTATGTACATATATTTTAGAAAGTCAATGCATTGTTGATGTTGAAATTCCCGACGGTAAGTAATATTTGATTTATTTATAATTAAACAAATTTATTGCTTATGTTTATATTGGTATTTTGATTATTAAATCAAGTAGGTTATTAAATTGGGTGCATTCTATTTATTATTACCATGCAACAATAATTCATGTTATATATCATCATTTATGTACGTACCTAAAGAGAAAAATAATATAGACCAATCTCGCTGACAACTAGGATTAGCCTGATTTATAGTTAGTACTGGCTAGATGTGGAGATGGTGATTAAGATGCTATATAATAAAAATTATTAAATTTAAATACTGTATAAAATTTATTAAACGAGTATTGAAATAATAAATACAGTCACTTTTATAATGAACTGATGATTCTGGAAGAAAGAAAAAGTTCATTATAGAAAATTAACTGTTTTCTTAAGAAGCCATAGCTCTTTTTATACCGAACCATTATAGAATTATAAAATTTCAAGTTCTTTATAGAGTTCGTTATAGAAAAGTTCGCTATATACAGAGCTGACAATCTTAATATACTTCTAAAATTATCATCATTACTGTTTGTGATAGCCTTGTTGTTTTATATGATATATGGTTATATTTTATATTTTTTTAAAGAAAACCATAAAATTAAAATCTAGATATTAAGTAAGGCTCCGGACCTCAACAGTTCCTAATTGTTAGTTGAACAACAATCACCTGATCGCGAATTTTTCCTGCCTCGACTTTTCTACCTTGGATCTAACATCTAATGTCATGAGAGATGACTGAATGGATTATTTATCGGAAAACTCATTGTTCGCTCTGCAGATACTCGAGTACTTCTACTAGTTTTAATCTATATCTATCGGTGTTCCACTCTATTTTTGAGGATATTCTTTTAATAGCATGTTGTGCATCCTAATCAATGAAGTTGCATCGTAGTAATGTAGCTGTTTCTCTTTTATCACTTTTTAATCCGTGGTTCTGTTAATTTGACAGGTTGTTTTGATGATCAGTTGATACGGTAATGCACTCCTTTCTCTAATGATTCATTGCTGCATTGACATGTAATACGACATCTCTGTGAGCTAAGATCATTGTAAAACAACGGATACTTATATACATAAAAACAAAATAATTTCGGCTTGAATAAAAAAACAATTCTGCGTTATTCATTGTACAGTTCTAACGAGTCAAGATGCAGTATTATGAATGGTTATTTCTTGCACACCTAGCCTAATTCTTGAAACATTATGTTACCGCTTAGGTCCATTTCTAAAACTAATTTATTTAATAAATTTCATGTGTTCTGCGCAATATTGATTGGTTGGCTATAATGTAATAAATAATAATAATAATAATAATAATAATAAAATTAAGAGCTAAATTGACTAATTTTTAAGGATTGGTTTTATTATGAGACTCGGCATTTACTTAAGAGTTGGACTGTTTTAATTAATTGGTAACATGATAAACACGATGCTGTATAATGGGATACCGAACTATATATATGAAAACAAAATAACGTAACATCTTGTACGTATGACATAAGAATTTTATTAACAAATCGATACAAATTCGGCTTCATATTATCGCAACACTTAATCTCATCGAATTTGTTAATGATTCACGAGTGAATTTGTTAGATTCACAACGCGATTATATTCTATCTTATGTTGATCAAAATATGAGGTTTCCTCATCATCTTCGTTACACTCTTTAAATCAGTATTTGTCACTTGGTCGCTTGGCTGGTTATTGGCCGTGGCCGAAGGCTGCGGCCAATGGCAAGGAGCCAAATATTTTGTACGTATAACAAGCTAGTAATATGATTGGTTTATATATATAAGTCAGAAACTTTTGGCTATTGGCCAATTGGTTGGCCGCAAAAAATTACCAACACTGCTTTAAATAGATGGCCTTCATCATTTTCTTCAATATATTTATATATAAATTACGGAATGTTGGTACACATGTTTCTGTATACGTATCTGATGGAATGGGATCAAGATTTTGAGTAGTGAAAAACAGAAACGATTATAACAGATAAGGTAAAGAATTGAATTATTATAAGATGAGGCATTTCTCACGTGAATGAATATTTATGCCATCACGATCAGTATTGTGATTAATATCTTTTTTTAAATATCAAGATCTTCAATATGTATAAAAGATGTAACTTAAAAGAGGGTAATATTACTAATCGTTGGTACCGTTTGCATAATTTTGCCTTAACAAATAAGCATATACCTGAATACACACTTTTAGTAGTTAATTTCCTGTTTTACCGTTACCGTTACCGTTACAGCATTACAAAGACTGTAGTGGAACACATTCAAGCCTATATGTATTACATAGTTCCAGCTTAGTTTCAAGCTAAATACGATTAATGCACGCACGCCCTTTCTAAATGAATTAATAATGTGACCTTGAATTAGTGTTTCATTTTTTCACATGTCATAATTACCATTGGAGACTTATAGGTTACGCACACCTCTAACTTGATTTGTCGATATAAGAGTACTTTTTTTCTTTTTTTGGTGTGCATGACCAACGTATACCGCCGCATATTCACATTAATTCACGTGAGGTTGAGAGACAAAATTATGACGATTCGGTATTACTTATTACCGAATTTGTCAATTTGCCCTTTTTTTTTTAGATTTTTAACCGCGTTTATTTTGAACGGAAGCCGTAGTTTCTTTTGTTTACCGCAAGAAGTGAACAATCCAAGATTTTTGTTTTATGCTCAAGAAAAAATTCTTTTAGGTTTTTTTTAAGGTAATATTTATAGCCGTTTGTTTGTTCCATTCTTTTGAAATTCACGCTTTTCATTGGATCATTTAAGTTCGGTTACCTGTTACGTAGTTCCTGCAACGTAACTACGTCGCACTGTTAATTAACTTTTTTTATTCGCATTATGTTAAATTAATTCTCGAAAAATTTAAATTATAGTTTTTTCCCAGCGTTCTGGATCATCTTTTTTTTTCTTTTTTTTTTTTTTTAAAAAAAAAAAAAAAAAAAAATTATTTTTTATACATTGAGTGTATTTGAGTGTATTTTTCTTTTACTTTCTTCCCTTATTTCGTTTCTTCGTTAATCGAAGAATTACAAGAACTACTTAATGAAACATTTTCAACATAGCCAGTGTTTCTCGAAAAACTTTTTTCCAGCTTATACCCAACTGAATTATACTCTCACATTTTAAAATATCATTTATTTATATCAAATATAGAATCATAAACCTACATTTCTTTTTTTTACTAACATTCTTAAAACATTATAATATCTTGTATTCTTATTTGTATTTTTATAAACATATATAATATAGTCTTATAACTTATAGGAAATGATACATTCGACGAACATTCGCTGGTTACTTCCGGCAATAATATATTCAATAATATATTCCGCTTTAGTGAACTATACTGTACCGGGCTTAGGTGACATGTTATTTTTAAAGTTCTTAAGCGAAATATTTTATGGACGGGTCCATAAATTAAAAGAATTTAAACCTCCGATACTGGTATGTAATGTAGTTATCAACTGTTATCCGTTATTAGTCGTTTAAAAAAATCTATTAATTATTATTATTATTATTATTTAGTCTAATTTTTTGATAATACACAATTTACGCACTCTATTGCCGGAAAAATATATTCAGATAGTTAGTCATAATGTAAATTTATTATTATTCGGATCTGAACCTGATTCCTCAAAAACAGCCTCCGAACGACAGCAAACTTTGATTGATCGAATGAAAGAAGAAAATCGTCAATTATTATCTAAATTAGCAAATCTAGAAACTGTATTTAAATCGGAACCAACTAAAAAGATATCCACAATGTCTACACCATATAATTCACATCATATAAATCATACGAATAACACAACAGGAAATATAAGCAGTAGTGATAATGAATATGACTATTGTAATATATTGACAAATACTCGAACACGAACTTCTCGTAAATCTCGACATAATAGTAAAAGAAGTATTAGCTGTACAAGACAACGTAGTTCTGGATATTCTTCAAGTAGCAATGCTGCCACAACGAAAAATTCATATTTATTCTCTTCAATGTCTGCTACGAATAATGGTGACACTGATATTACAGGTTTTAGTTCTGGTGATGAATGTGATGATGCAAAGCAACTTGTGGTTGATGAAAAAGCTGAATCTGGTAATAAAGTATATTGGATGCATAAAATAATAGAAACTGTTGAAGAATATGATCCACGACTTACATATTCTTTAGAGCGTATTGGTTCTGGGTATGTATTAATCAATAGAAAATAAAGTAGTCACTTCATTTTTTAATAATAAATTTAATAACGATTTTTTTCCTTAAATAGTGGAAGTGGTAAATTATATAAGGCAACAGATCACCTTACTAAGCGAGTCATAGCAGTGAAATCAATCAATCTATTGGATTCGAAACTACTTAACGTTACTCATGCTGAAGTTATGGCCTGTCGAATACTTAAACATCCAAACATTATTACAAATTATAAACAAAGTATTATGGATAACTTTGATCACGCTCCCACTACCTCATTTTTTGAACCATCTGCATATAAACACTCTTTATTTAAAGAAAATTGTTATCCAATAGATGATAGTGGACATAAAGAGTTTAGCAATCCTACTTTATGTTTGTTTATGGAATACTGCGAAGCTGGGTCTTTGTGGGAGGTTCGAAACAAAAAACCACAAAAACGATTTAATGAAGCTGAAGTGGCGTTTGTGATGCGTGAAGTATTGAAAGGATTAGAATGCATACATGGATTGGGAATTATACATCGAGATATTAAAGCTCAAAATATTCTTATAAGTAATGATGGTGGTGTTAAAATAGGTGTGTATATACGGATATACAATATATACAATATATACAATATATACAGTATATATGGTATATATGTCAAAATTTTTTAAAAAAAATTTATGAATTTACTAATACAAATCTTTTTTATTTTATGATGTATTTAGCTGATTTTGGTTCCTCTTCTTTACGATGTCGCGCGAAACTAAAACTTGGCACATTATATTGGATGGCCCCTGAAGTATTAAAAGATCAAATTTATGATTCTAAAGTGGATATTTGGTCATTAGGTATTTTAGCCATAGAATTATTTGAAGGAAGGCCTCCATGGTATCCTATGGGACAACGAAGGGTAAGTTTTTATTTTTGTCTGATTACTTTCCATTTATACACACTATAATAATTTCTATAATAATTTATGTGTATATTAATTTTGTATATTAATTTGTGTTTTCATCAACTTAAAGGTTGTGGAACTTATAAGAACAGTAGGCACACCACCATTACCATCAGGAATATCTCCTGATTTTGAATCATTTCTTAGAGATTGTTTAAGAGTTGAGGCTGAATGTCGACCGGCTGCATGTGAACTTTTGAAACACTCATTTATGAAATGTTGTGAGCAGATCAACAAGCTGCCGATTGAAAAATGCTGAGGAAAAAGGTTTCAGTTAAAAAAAAAAAAAAATCAATAAAAATTTTAGTGGTTGTATATATTTGTATTAAAAAAAAAAAAAAACATTGTTAACATTATATTAGCTATTTAATATTATCTGAAAATTTTAACAGATTATTCAAATTATCTGATTGCGTTAAAATTATTACGATAAATTATTAGGATATGAATAAATCAATGATTTTACAAAGTACTGCTCACTAACTAAAAAAATGATTAGGAAAATTTATTGAACCTACTTTAATTAATAATTTGAATTTTGTTAAAAAACCATCATAGCGAATTTACGAAATTAAGCTAAAATTCGGTCGCCAAATTCAAGTATTTGGACCCTCAAATTTAGATTTTAACATTAATCACCCGAAAAAAAATTTTGGACCTCTGATCTAGATTGATAACGTGTCTATACCCATCCTCCCTCCCTATGGGCAACCCATCTTTCCGCTTCATTAAACAGAAATTTATTGCGATGATGCATTTTTAACTTAAAGATATTGATTATCTTAGTCAAAAATCAGTATTTACATATTTGGGTATTTAAGTGGGAAGAGCTTTATTTCGAAAATCGCGCCCCTAAAATTAACGTCCCGAAATAACGTGCGCCTCGTTAATATGTCAGTGAATTTATAATTTATAATATAGCAACAATCAAATCTTTATCTTGAAATAACGCACATAGGCGTATTCGAAATAACGCGTATGTGATCGAAAAAATTTTTTTATTTACATGGTTAAAATCTAATTTTGTTTACAAATTTTATTTTCAAATTGCAATTATATAATATATAAATTTAGAACTATTAAGAATAATACTAATTATACCTAGGGACGGCAGAAATCATGGATTTTTTTGATTTAAATCATTAATTCTTATTATGTAATCAAACTATTTTATATTTAAATTCTGACTTTGAATGCGACTTTCAAATCCACAGAATCTCAGACATAAATCTGCTTTAAATTGATTTAAAATAAAAATCGGTGATTTTTATCATCGTACATGCCATCCCTAGTTATACCATAAAAAATAGTAAAAGCGATTTTTTGGGTGGCGATTTAACCCCGGTTGAGTGTAATTTTAAATTTTGGCTCGAATCAAGCTTAATTCGGGCCATTATTCTGAATAACGCTCATGGGCGTTATTTCGCGACGTATCGCTACACGGTATGCCTTATTTCTACAGATGGAAACTCTTGTAATTACATATGTATACGTTGTGTAATATATAAAACAATATTACTGTATCTTTAATATTGTTTTACTAGACTTCAGGGACCCGCAAAAATTTGGATATCAAATTGCAAAAATTTATTGGGGTATTAGCTAATATTTGGATAAAACTAGCTCTTAAGACCCGGTCGGTGACCGGGTTTGAGTTCCTAATTTTTTGCTAATTCTTAGGTCTTAACATTATTA